ATTCTGACTTCGGCCTCTCTGCTTGAAATTTAGGGCTGAACCTGAACCCTCTGATTCGACCGACTATCTTCTAACCTCCTTTATAGAATCATACTAACAATCTTGCTCAGCTTCAGCTTCTCCTTTCTTGTCGAGTTGCTAATTGCAGTCACATAACCTGCCTAGCTATCCGACAATTGCGATAGTAATAGTATGGCTTGCACTTCATCATCAAACATGATGTCGACTGATATGAGTTGATCAATAATCATGTTGAAGTCGCTGAGATGCAATGTGAAGGAGTATCCTTCTGCCATCTTGAGGTTGAAGAGCATCTTGACGAGATGCACATTGTTTACAGCTGACGGTTGCTCGTACATCTTAGCGAGCGCTTCCATAAGTCTCATCGTCGCCTTTTCCTTCAATATGTTATGGGTGACTAATTTTGTGAGCGACAACCGGATCTATCCTAGAGCATTCCGATCCAGTATTTCCCACTCCTCATTTGTCTCCTCTTTCTTCTTTCCCTTTTTGTTTTTCCCATCAACGGACGACAAAGATTCTTCTGGTACAGATAGTCCTCCATCTGCGACTTCCAGTAGGCGAAGTCTGATCCGTCAAACTTCTCAATCTTCGATTTTCTTTCTTCTGCCATAGCTCTCACACAGATCTTTGCCGAATGAAGTTCTGATACTAGTTGTTGGGGTTAATCTATCGACAACCCGTGCCCTCCGGATCTTGTGACGAACAATTAGCAAGCAAGAGATCACAGCAAATCGAAAAACTAGTAGGAAAGAATAAATAAAAGAGAGAATACCAGATTTAACGAGGTTTGGCAAACGTGCCTACGTCCTCGGGAGTCACACCAGAAATTCCTTGATTATTGAAGAAGATTACAAAGCTTGCAATAGGCCACACTCTCTCTAAGATCTCTGATCTCAAAGTGCTCTCAAAACCCTCTCTTTTTCGTGTATTATAAACCCTAAAAACGTTTAAGGATATATATATATATATATAATATATATATTACTATCATTATATACTATATATTACTAATATATTAATCCAACTCAATAGGCTTTCAAACGAAGTCAAGCACGGATAAAACCCGATATCAGTCAAACTGATGCACTTGCATCGTTTGGACTGAGTCGGAACAATTTTTTTAGACTACTTCGTGGCAATTATTAGGTCGACTGATATGAGGCTATCAGTCGACCGACCAGAGCAAATGTTTCTAGCCTTGTTTCTACAGTCGCATCGATCGACAGATCCTCTCCCTTCGGTCGACTGGTCTGGGGTTTTTGCTGCTTCTTGATTTCGTTCTAGGTTTGAGTCTACACTCCCAAAACCAACAAGCATACGATGAAAAAAAAACAATGAAACGTGTTTGGCAACCATGGCGTTTTTGCCGTTTTCGTTTTTTTTCAAAAAAAAAAACAATGAAACGTGTTTGGCAACCGGGGCGATTTTTTGACTTGACCCTTTAAAAAATCCAAAAAATAAACGTTTTTCTTAAAACACTAAAAAAATGTTTTGAGATTCTGTTTTTTCATCTAAGCCGCCGCCCGTCCGCCGCCCGCTCGCCCGCCGCTGCTCGTCGGCCGGCCCGTCGCCCCCGCCCCCGGACCGCCGCCTGCCATCCGCCTCCGCCAGCACCCATAGCCCGCAGCCACGTCGCCCGCCCCCGCCGCTGCCGTCGGCCGATTCGTCGCGCGCTTGTTCGATCGACCGTCTGCCGCCACCGCCACACCAGTGCGATGGCCTGCCGGACCGCGCTCCGCCGCACCGAGTACCCGTCGCCATCACTCGCGCGCCCGTACGGCCATCGCCGCGCGGCCCGCGCTGCTCGTCCGCGGGTCTCCGCCGCCTCCATCCCCGCCGTTGCCACTGCCTGGGTCAGTGCCTGCGCGCCCGTCCGCCGTCACCGCGCTACCCCGTTGCCGTGGCCGTTGCCCGTCCGCCGTCCGGCCGCCCAGCCCGCCGCCGACGTAAGCTGCCCCGTCAGCCGTTCGCGGGGTCCGCGCCGCCACGCCACCGCCGCTAGCCTGTCGTGCGGGGCACGCCGCTTGCCCGCAAGCCGCTTCCGGTGGTCGTCCGCCCTCCCTCGACCGCGCCAAAGTCATCGTCGGCCGCGCCGGGCCTCCGCCGCTGTCGCCGG